GACCGACGCTGCGCCCGTGAGGCGCCTTTTCGTCGGCAATTTTTCTACATGGGGTCCGAAAGCGGACAAATGGTTGAGGAAAGCTGCATTGGCCAAGTCTGGGGACCACGGCTACTTCGACGGCTTCGCGTTCCAGGAAACGCACCTCAGCCATGGGGAAGTGGAACCACACGAAAGACTTCTTCACGGTATGGGCCTGAAGGCAGTTGCGTGTGCGGCAAGACCATCAAAAACATCTACGACTGGCACGAATGGGGGTACCAGTATTGCTATTCGATCACATATGAGATCTTCAACTTACAGAGAGTTGGCCACAAGACAGTCTGTCAGTGGTGCGATGGCTGGGGCTAGCGCAGGGAACCACGACAGCGACGGGAACGGCCTGGAATTCTGTGATTGGGTGCCGATGGCGTGGCACCTCAAGGGCTACTCAATTGTGATCATCAGTATATATTTAGACGGGGGTGTGGCACCGACGGCAGGTATCAACAGTAAGAAGTTGGCGGGCTTGTCGTGTTTTTTAAACGGTATCGACCACCCTTGGATTATTGTGGGAGATTGGAACCACTCGCCGCAGCAGATTTGGCAGAGTGGATGGCCGAAGCAAATGGGGAGCGCAATTTTGTCTCTCCCAGAAGGATCTTTTACTTGTTTCAAGAAGGGTAGCAAGCCGTCGCTGATCGACTTCGCGCTGGTGAGCTACAAAGCAGAACGATATGTACGATTTATTGAAGCAGTCACAGATGTGCCGTGGAGACCTCATATTGGGCAGTGCATCGGGATTGATGGGGAAGCGAGATTCAACACCGTGAGGACGCTCACCATGCCGCGCCCCTTCATTCACCCAAAGTTGGAGAAAAAGGCTCCAAACCCCAATAGCAAGAGGCAGAAAAAGTTGCAGAAGTCGCAGAATGAGACCGGCACTCAGGAAGTTGGTCAAGTGGATGTTGGACGAGAGCAAGCAGAAGAACAACAACGCCTACAACAACTGGAGGAAGCACGATGGGAAGCACTCACACCATGGGGTTGGCAAGGATTTCCTGTGGAGCAGAAGGTCAGAAATACTTGGGATGATGCAGATGTGGACCCGTTCGACGAAATCGAGAACGAGATGGACCCAGGACCAGCCACAGCTGAACAACAACTGGAAGCGATGGGCGGCGAAACCGACACGGACGAAGGGGAGCTAGATGGATCGAAAGGTCAGGACCCCCATGACGACACGCTAGATGGCACGAATGGTCGAGACCCCCATGTCGCCACGTCGGACAGCTCGAACAGTCGGGGCCTCGCTGTCGCCACGTCGATAGATAAAGGTCAGGACATCAGGTCTACCAACCTCCCCACCATGTGCATGGACGATATTTGGACAGGTATTGCTCTGCAACCTCACGACCATCGAGAACGTGAAGGACCACCTGATGAAATCAGGAAGAGTGCATCGTTCCTAGCCACGGAGACGGAGGCGATGTCCTTAGGCACGCAGTACGCGAAGCTGATGCAGAACATGGAGAACTTCTACTGCACCGCCTACAAAGTTCCTCTGAAAGATCGAAAGATGTTCTGTGGGAGAGGTGGAAAGCGAGAACTGAAGATTAAGGAAGTCAAGGAATATGGACAACGATACCCAAGGTTTGCGGACTACAAGGCGGATTGGTGGAATAGAACAGCAAATACCTTGAACACGATCGTGCAGCTCTCAAAGAAGCACAAGGGCAGCGAGATGATCAAGAACGCAGCCAAGACGTGCAGATATCTGGCGATCGAAGGGCTACCACCACTGGGCAGAAATACATCGGCGACGGCCAAGCTGCACAGGAAGATATGGAAAGACCGCCTCCTGAACATCGAGAAGCAGGACATCCCCATCCTGGAAGGAATGCAAGCACAAGCAGAAGAACAAGCTGGGAAAGCTCTGAAGGGGGACCTGGCGAAAGGAAGACGAGCCTACACCGAGTGGCTCCAAGACACGGCCAAGGAGAAGCCAGGTACGATTCACCGCATAACCAAGGACGCGAAAAGGTACGAGCAGGAAGTGTTACAGGACAACATGAAGAAATACTCACCGACAAGCAGGATTGATGCGAAGGCCAAAACGTTCAAGGAGCTCTGGAGAGAAGGACATGATGATGCAGATGTACAACTCCTCAAAGACCTTAGACAGGCAGCGCAAGCAGAAGAACCACGCACGTGGACGCTAGAGGAGATGGACCAAGCTATTCGAGGAGCACCAGACCGAGGGAAAGGAGTGGACCAAATGTGCATGACGGACCTGAGAAGATTGCCTACACAGGGACGTCAGGAGTTCGTGGACATGTACAACAGCTGCGAGAAGAGTTTGGCCTGGCCGTGGCAGATTCTAGAAGCTATAGTAATGTTAGAACCCAAAGGGGAAAGCCAACCTGGGCCTTCGTCTTTGAGTACAGGTGGCGATAGGGCGCTGGCGCTACTCAGCTGGATGGGCAGATGCTGGGAATTGCTGAACCGAGAAGTTGTCCGAGATTGGGTCCGAGAAGTTCAGCAACCATGGGACGCAGCAGTACCTGGACAAAGCTG